CAAAAGAAAGATTCTTTAAAAATATCAAGCCCGGAGGATCCAACCCTTTATAATGGATATTTTTCTACGAAACCCTCTGAAGTTATTATAATAGTTTGTTCGTACAAATTTTATATCGAGGAGTAAGTTAAAAAGAAAAAAATTTCCTCGTGTCTTATAATAATGACAAATTTGGTAAAATATCGATTAGAGGTGGCCATAAGTCCTATATAAAAAGGCATTAACCGATAATGGACGAAATATAATGATGGCCTAATGTATCAACTATGTAACTAATTAATCATGACTAATGTTAAACAAATCGCAGACCACCTAATATAAATTTATAAAACCATGTCAGCCCCGTTACTCAATATTGTAAAGTACTTTACAAAACGACAACTAATGTTAGGTTATTAAGCCATGAATTGATAAAATGCCAAAACGCTTTTGACTATTAAGATTTGGTGAATATGTGTCTATATTGACATTGACGGATCAGAATGAGCAGAGACGCAGAGAACTTCACAAGGGCATGTCGATCCAATAATGCATTGATTAATATGCTAAGTTATTTACAAATGCAACGGAAAACATGATGCTGTATGTAATGTTATGATAATAAATTCTCGACCAGTTGCAGATCACCATTGACTTTACAAAGGCGTACAGAAGACACGCAGTATTAGCGAAATTTGCCCTTTTTTGATGCAATCAATTTGAAAAAATAAATGAATGAAATTTTAACAGACAAAAACTTTAAATACTAATAAATAGAGTTTGGTATGTCTAAAAGCATATGACAAAACCCTAATGGATGATCTGGGAAAGACCTAATGTTCTTATCAAGTGCTGACAACTGCCGTTCACTAGCCCTCATACTTGCTAAAAGCCGTCCATATAAAACTGATGCAATATATATTGCAATAAGTTAAAATAAGAAAAACTAGATTGTACAAGCTTGTTATTATATATCTTTTATTTTAATCGAGATTTTCAACAAGATTTTCTTGAATACCAGTTTAGGCGATTTTTGTTTATGACGTGTTTCATATAGCCAAAATTTTAAATGTTAAGGAATAGTTTGCACAAAAGGCATAAGACATTCCAAACATTAACTAACCGTTTATAGAGTTCACAATGGATCAATGTTAATGTAATGAGATAAGCGGAACAGGAATATCAGGGACAAATCGTCAATAATTCGCAGACCACCCAACACAACTTTACAAAGCGTATAAAGCTTACGTAGTACGTCAGTTTACAATCCCATATCTGATGAGAAAATATCGGAAGGCCATGGTCGATATGCACATAAATGATATAACCATAAATTATGCCTGTTTCGTTGCCTCTTAACGATCTTAAAACAGCCACCAACATTGATCGACTATGCAATTTCCATTGTTATGTAGAACTCTTAGTTAACTTAAGGCTTTCTATTAGATCCCAAAGCTTAATTAAGTACTACCGTGTGTACCCTGCAGGCCTTGGCTTTTCCTCTCCCAGAAGTAGGAATGAATCTGAGCCTGCATAGCTTTTCGCCAATACAAGACCTGTTCCCTTAGTTTCCTCTTCATCCTGGTAATATCTGCACAGACATTATACCTGTCACCAGGCACAGACCTGGTAATATGCTGCTCTGTGTCTTTAGATGTACCTCCGGAGGCTTCAATCATCAGTGTCAGTACACCTATTGTCTTTCTAGTCCTAATACGTCCGAAGTTTAGTAGTTCTGCCGTTTATCAAATGTCCTTTGATGAACTATTTTGTGTCCCTCAGAAATACAATCCATTGAATCGAGGACTGATCCTTAACCAATTATCTAATGGACCTAAGTTTTCGTAATTTGCAATGCCGCAATAGGGTCCAGTGCCGATTTGTTTCTTTTAGTTTAAGGGTTAAGGAAAGAATTTTGTGCGCAAATTTAACATTTGACGTTTGTGGGAGGGTAGGTGATTATGAAGAAAAAGAAGACTGATCGAACATAAGTCTCATAAATCTATAAATATGTGATTTCTGCACAATGTATGTATCCAGTTTTGTCGTAAATGTACAAAAAACGCCAGATTGCATGACAGTCTGTTCATGGAACTAATTGCCTTTTTTGCTAAAAATTTCACAGAAAGTACTGTACAGATAACAATGATGTCCCTGGATTAAAATGGAGGCTAATTATATTGAAATTCGTCAAGTCTCATAGAGCTATTGATACATAGTTTTTGCACTATGTAAGTTTTCATATATGCTTGAAATGGCAATTCATGAGACCGTCATTTAGCGCAAAATTTCTACCATCCCGTCAGTAAAAAAACTGATTAATTGCTACTTTTGTTAATTTTGAAAATAATGTATTTAGACAATAGTACACACTCATCAATAATCATAGTAAGTTCAGTACAGACTTCAATAATGCCCTCTGGACAAAATGGAGGCTCATGATATTAAAATTCATGGACGTTTTAAACTCTGATTTAAGGGATATAAGAAGTGAATTTTTGTGCAAATTTCGCATGTGATATTTGCGAGTTGGTGGTACGATTAGTCATACAAAATCTCTCCTGATGTTATTGATACATAATTTCTGTACAATTGTACGTTTTTTGTTTTATGCTAGCAATAAAAAAGTCAGTTTGCAATAAATGGGAGTTCTTGTAACTAATTGCAATTGTTGGTCAAAATTTCTAAGATTTTGTTACCAAAAAGTTGATTAATTGTTACTTTTGTTTATTTTGACTAGAATGACTTTAGGCATCAGTGTGGATGTCCATGATACCTGCTAGATTAATATGGAGGCTCTTTATATTAAAATTCATAGAGGTCATAAGCTTTAAGAATTATCAAGATGAGTTTGTTCACCACTTAAAGCTTATTTTGAATATCTTTGAGGCAGTATTCACTGAAAGTTCTGTACAGATGTCAATGTTGCCCCTGGACTAAAATGGATGCCCATTATATAGTTTATAGACGTTTTAAACTTTCCTTTAAAGGTTATGAAGATGATTTTGTGTACTAATTCAATATTTGTTGGTTGTGGGATCGTGACACAAAGATTAATAATGTCGATTATGCAGAGGTAAGTACCACAAAGCTATCGATACATAGTTTCTGCGCTTTGTACGTTATTTGTTTTATGTTACCAATAAAAAAGCTAGTTTGCATTAAAAGGCAGTTTATGCTAATTGCAATTGTTGTTGAACAATTTGTAAAATTACGATACTATAAAGTTAAATAATTGTTACTTTTGTATATTTTCACTAGACTATATTTAGGACACGATCACTCATCAATAAAGTTCAGTACAGATGTCAATGGAGCCCCTAGATTAAAATGGAATCTCATTGCACTGCAATTTATTGAACTTTTAAGCTTTAAGTGTTAAGAAGAGGATTGTGTTAGCAAATTCTGAATTTGAATCGGTGATACGAAAAATAATGATGTTGGTCGTACAAAAAGTCTCATGATGCTATATATCAACACAGTTTCTGCGCTTGGTACGTTTTTGTTTTATTCTAGCAAAAAAATGCATTAAATGTCAGTTCATGTAACTAACTACAATTGTTGTTCAAAATTTCTAATATAGTAATACTATACAGTTGGTCAATTGTTAATTTTGTTTACTTTGACTAGAATGTCTATAGGCATCGATACAGATGTCAATGATACCTGCTGGATTGAAATGAAGGCTCTTTATATTGAAAAGCATAGACCTTTTTAAGATTCATTAGCAAATTCAACCATTTTGTTTATTTTAAGTATCTTTACACAGTAATGGGCAGTAATCGCAGAAAGTTCAGTACAGATGTCAATGGAGCCCCTAGATTAAAATGGAATCTCATTGCACTGCAATTTATTGAACTTTTAAGCTTTAAGTGTTAAGAAGAGGATTGTGTTAGCAAATTCTGAATTTGAATCGGTGATACGAAAAATAATGATGTTGGTCGTACAAAAAGTCTCGTGATGCTCTTTATACTGTTTCTGCACTTGGTAAGTTTTTGTTTTAGCTAGCAACAAAAAAAAAAAAAAAATTGTTCTTCAAAATTTCTAAGAACATAATATGTACTAAAATTAATGGTTACATTCACTAGTTTTCGAGGTCGCTCCCCGCTCATGACACTGACTTTTTTATCTCAACTAAAAACCTTAATTAATAGAAAAATTAATTGTTACTTTTGTTTTCTTTGAGTAGAATGTCTGTCTATAGGCATAGCCAGTTGGTACTTTTTGTTTTACGCTAACAAACAAATGCATTAAATGTCAGTTCATGTAACTAACCGCAATTATTGTTCAAAATGCCTAAGATTATAATACGAAACAGTTGATTAATTGTTAATTTTGTTTACTTTGACTAGAATGTCTATGGGCATCAATACAGATGTCAATGATACCTGCTGGATTGAAATGAAGGCTCTTTATATTGAAAAGCATAGACCTTTTTAAGATTCATTAGCAAATTCAACCATTTTATTTATTTTAAGTATCTTTTAGGCAATAGAGGGCAGTAATCATAGAAAAATCAGTACAGATGTCAATGAAGCCCTTGGACTAAAATGGAAGCTCGTTGCAATCCAATTTATTAAAGATTTAGGCTTTACGGGTTATGAACAGGATTGTGTTGGCAATTCTGCATTTGAGTTGGTGATACGAAAAATAATAATGTTGGTCGTACAAATGTCTCATGACTCTATCATCACATAGTTTCTACACTATATACGTTTTTTTATTTATCCTAACAGTACATAAACGTTTCTAAGATTACGTAAAAAAAATTGATTAATAGCAAATTTTGTTTATTTTGGCTGGAATGTTTTTATGCAATGGTGGACAGTAAACTCAAAAAGTTAAGTACAGATGTCAATGATGCATGCTGGACTAAAATGGAGGCTCATTAGATTGAAATTGATTGAAGTTAAGGACTAAGAAGAGGGTTTTGGAATGGACTTCTACTAAAGCGTCTATAGTTTTTAACTTTTGTGTATGTTTCTGATTAGATGGTAAGAAGACAAGTAAGGTGTACATACCTCTAATATTTTGGCCCTTTTCTGTTGCACCTCTCTGTCCGGGTCTTCACCGTTGTAGGTGAGCGGATAATGATCTGCGAAGCTGGGAGGAACTGTATTGACGGCGTTCTCGTCTTCGATGATGTTGAGACCCTGTTCGACGTTGGTCTCGACCTGCTTCTGTTGGGTTTCGACCAGCCTGGTGGACGAGCTCCCCGGCCTCATCACCCGGACGTCCGGACGTTCCAGGACCTTCTGGTTCTTTTCCTCGTCCTCGGCGATCTTTGCGAGGAGCTTCGCCCGGTCCTCGAGCCTGTGCGGGTCCTCGCCGTGGGGGTCGCCGTGCCCGAAAATCCCCGGGCTCTCGTTGAAGTCGTGCATGTGCGGCGGCGCCGGTATCAGGAGCTCGGGGCCCGCCTTCTGGATCCTCTTGTACACCGTATAGACGCTGTTACCGCTCACGCCCGACTTGAACTCTGGGAGGAAGAAAAAGCCGCCAAAGCAGACGAGGCCGAAAGTGAGGAACACGAGCAGGATAAGGTACTTTTCCCTGGGCCTGAAAGACCGGCGCGCAGAGCTCGGGACAGGGGCCCCGTTCAGGAAACGCTGATGGGTCGGCAAAATGCCCGTCGTTGCCATTATTCCGTTCCCGCGATGCTGTTTCTCTTATGAGTCGGACTCGCGCACGTCCATCGCTCTCACGCCATTTTACCAACTAATTTTGACAAATAAGAAACCCGAGAAGTGGGAGTAGCTCCCAGTCTACCCAACGCGAGACCACGACCGAGCAACAATTTCCCCGTACGCCGAAAACTTTTTTCACCATTCCACTCCACCAACCAGACAAATACAATCGTTTTAAATGCAAAAATCATATTCACGATAACACCGAAACAAAAAACATTTCAAAATTCTTTGATTTGCCGATTAAGAAAACATTCCTGCATCTTATCGCGAGGTTACAATCGCCGGCATCAGGTTAACGTTCCCTCGACATTTGACAACTTTAAAAAAGGCGGTGATTTCAGTTTTAATTTTTAAGTGACCCAATTTTCACTCACAATCAGAAAAAAATCTCCAAACACCTTCAGTGAAATAGAAACAAACCTTATAACACAGTGTCTTACATCGATAAACTTTTATTAATAACAAAAACCATATAGCATGTAATATGTGATATTAAACAACGCACATAAACCTGGAGGCAAAAAAAGTGTCCACCCTCGTTTTTTAAGTAAGTATTTGCAATTGTTATAATTTTTATTTTGTTGTTTACTGTATATGTTTAAAGTTTTCGAAGAAAAACAACCAAAACAAACCAATACCATTGATTTTAGTGAATTGCCTTCTTTCCCTCAAAAAGCTTAGCCAATGGCCAATGGATCATTTTCTTGCATCATGGTCATCTCTAAGGCGATTATCGACAGCCCTGTAGAATTTAGGGGTATAAAAGGGTATAAAATTGAAGTATAATATAGACTGAGACAAGATATTGCTAAATAAAAAGATTAAATTTAAAAAAATCGAACTGAGTAAAAAAATGTACTATAAATGTCCTATGAAAACATGGAGGTCAGTGACAATAATGACCTTACCCTGGCATGGGTCCCTGGACATTCGGGGCATAAAAGCAACGAAAAGGTTGACATGTTAGCCAAAAATGGGGCCAACATGGACTCTCTGGGTCATGAACCCTACTGTGGCTTAGCAGCCTGCCACAAAAGAGGATACATCTTAACATTTATCCTTAATGAGTCCAAAACCTGGTGAAATAATACCACAGGTAGGAGGCATGCAAAGAGATTCATAGAAGGACCATCCGAAAAACTTACAAAAGAATTACTGGAAGGCAACCGAACAAGGATTCTGGATGGTCTCCTAACAGGACTCTGCCACATACTCCTCTAACAGACCATTCTTACTTCATGCAAATTCTCATGCATCGCTGGGCGACTCTTTACCCTGTTTGACAACTCGTCCCAAAAGTGTTCTATAGGGTTTAAGTCGGGACTACATGCAGGCCGCTCCGAACATGGTTCCCATTGGGGGTCGCAACGTCATCACAAGGACAATGAGGTTCTTTAATGTGCGCACCTGGCACATGGCCTTATCACACGTTTGTTTAGATTGTCAAGGGGAGTGACCTACCTCCGCTCACAAGTGGTCAGTGTTAATCCTGGTTTGGGATAGAAGCAACTCAGTATACTCAGCACTCCAAACATTGAATTGTTCCATTCCCATTCCAAGTGGTTACCAACGATCCTAGCTGTGCACATCCTTGCTTTGTTATGCATAAAAATAAAACCATCGCCAATTAGTGGCTTTTAATGATGTAATAATATAACACATCTTCAATATAAAACAGATCGAAAGTAAGAAGGGGGAAAAGTACTATGTAACTGATTTGTGACTGACTTTGTAGCCACTACAAAAAAACAGTAACCACAGCCGTAGCAATGACAGCTTCACTGTTGTCGATCACGATTGGTAGTACATTGAGGATTTGCACGACACTTGGAAAAAATGTGTTTTCACTTCAATTCAAATATATATTTATTTTTTTCCATTATAAAAAAGTGCTCATCCCATACAACTTTTTTTTTCTTTCACCATGTCAGATCATAAAATTTATTTGTTCTCATATTTTTAAGTTAGGAAAAAAAAGATTTTGCCTGTTTATTTTGTTTTAATGATGATTTATTAAAACTTGAATAAGGATAAAATAACGATGATACAATCAAGTTTCACACAATATAAACAAATATATAAATTTGAGAAAATAAAAAGCAGTCACTTTTTTTAAATGAAAGTTATACTAGAACCAACATTAATATCTACTTCATCATTTCTATAAAAAGAGTTGTTTAAATTTACATTTATTTTAAAAATTTCATTGGCATTGACGATTGACATAGAAACTATTTAATCTTATTCTACCTATTTTGTTTGCAACAATTTTTTAAGGCACTTTAAATGGCAATTGTGTGAGCCAGTTGTAAAAATACATTGAAAAAGAATTTTTTTTTAAATAAATTGTTGCTTTTTATAATCTTAATTTGTTTTAAATTGTTACTTGTTTGTAATCTTAAGAGTTTGAAAACATACATTTTTCCAATAGACCAAGCTAGGTTTTTAAATTATTATTTTTTATAATAATCATGTTTTGGGAAGAACATTTTACATAGTAATGATAAAAAAAATGTGCTATATGTAAGTTGAAAGTGCTTATATAATAAAGGAATAATTATAATAATAAATTGATTAGTGTGATATGCCTACATTATATTTTTTTTGTAATCTATCAGGCTCTTTTTATAATAGGTAAGAAAATATATATAATTCAAAATATTTCATAGAGCTAGTTTTTCACTTATGTACTATTCTAAATTCTAGACACAAAATTGTTTTACCTCTTACAATACCACTCATTTGTACAAATACTAATTTATTATTGCACAAACTACTGGCTTGCTTGCTCACAGAAGAAAAAAAACAGCAACTATAAAAAAACTATATTTATAACAATACATAAAGCCAAAACGTCGTGGTATATATTTCTAATTATACTATACATTTTATGTCAATAATTAAGTAAAAATATTGTTTATAGTCTATATAAAAAGTGAAAAAATATAGAGGTCGAAATATAAGAATACAAAACGAGATCATTTTAATTTATGACTAGAATGTTTCCCTGATTACAAGGTATAAAAAAATATATGGGTATAAATGTGAAAAGGAAAGTTTTACATAATTGTATATTCTGTGTTAAAATTGCTGTCATCCTTAATTGTATAGTAAGATGCCTAAAAATTTTAAAAAATCATTTTTCAAAGTACTCCACTGTATCATTTTCTTTTGTGTCTTCATGCTGATTCTGATTGTAACCTAGGACGACTTTCAATTGTTGTTCCAGTCCCCAGGCACCAACTGAAATTTTTTTTTTTTTAAATAGGTAAATGTTTTGTTTAGTAAACTATACTTTTAACCTAGTTAATTACCTTCGTTTGTGAGTGACTTTGATGTTGTTGGTCTAACTTCTTTTGTTTCTTTTTCATGGGAGTGTTGTGTCTGAGGTAAATGTCTTACCGGGCTTGTCAAAGCTCTGAAAGTCATGCTTGCCGAATCAAAACCAGAACTGTCAGATCCGGGTAGAATTAATGGTTTTAATTTCTTCTCGAAGCTCTTTGCTTTGTCAAAAGGATGGACTTTGTTGTTTTTCCAATTTTTATTGGAAAGTTTTTGTTGCAGTTCACCTTTTTTCTCTAAAATGCCTATAAATAAATTATGTAAGTGTCATTTATTGTACCATTTAAATTGTAATTAATAACATTTTTCTCATTACGTTGCAAGCCGGCTTTTTTATTTTCAATTGCTAGCAGTAGTTCATTGCTCTCTGAGAACGAAACTCCAGGGGGTTCACCATGTTCTAAACCAGATTTAGCCTCCTCTCCTCTTGACTTTAAAACCTTTTAAAACAAAAATTTTGGTCAAAATATAAATTTTGCCATTTTCTAAAAATAATATTGCAAATTTAGGTAACTACTAGGTTGTTGATAAAGCCATTGGGAATTTTGAATTTTTTGCAATTTTGGCTCTAAAACTCAACCAAATTTAATAAACTTTAACAGCAAAATAAAGTAACTTGTTCTTCTTGAATATAGACCAATGTTGCATCATAGGACTTCTGACTTGGGTAAATTATCAAAAATGATGGACACATGCATCTCCCAGCTTAGTACTACCTACAACGATGCTTGTTGTATTGCTGATGATATAATAAGGACTTATAACAACCTAGTAATTATATATATGACTAAAAAAGCCACCTAATAACCAATTCTGTCTAACTTACATGTCCATTGACATCTCCATTTTGTGACTGCATGTGACAAAAGTTACATATATTTTTATTTTTCAATTATAAATAAATTATTAAACATTTTTTTAATGTATCATTAAAAAACAAGCTATTGAAAAATGTTATCTAATAAAGTCATGCACAATTACACAAGATTAAATGAAGCAAAATCCCTTGATAACTTTTTTAAGCTATAACAAATTATGGTAAACAAATTGGTAAAGTTGTTACTATATTAATATAGTATAGCTTAGAATTTGGTTTAAATTAAACATATTTCATATTACCATTTGGATATTTGATTCAGAATTTTTCTCAGCCTCTTGTTTTTGTCTTAATTTTTCCCTAAGTATCGCCATTCTCTCCATTTCTTCTTTCATATCAGCTTCCACCCTATTGTTGAGCAGCATGTAGTTATGTATGATCTGCTTGACTAGCCATCTTTAAAAAAAATTACATTTACTTAGGCCATTAAGTCAGAGCTACTCGACAATGCCAGCTACGAACCTGTACCCTCTAAGCAGGCGTTGGTCTAACTGTTGTGTCCTTGAAGTCAAATAAATAGGAAAAGCAGTGCAAATCTCAACCAGAGTAGGGCACTTTTGTTGGTTTACTAAAGGTTCAAGTTTTAACATTTCCACAATGTCTATTTCATCCAAAGCATCCGGTTTGTCCTGTTTATTTGCAAGCCTGTAAAAAAATTAGGTTATATCACCCTTGCAAACAAGTGTTTCAAAATCAATTATGTGTCAATTACACCAAGACAGGTTTTCCAGACAATTTTTCATCACGCAATAAAGATTCTAATATACTCCTCGATTCTTCCAATCTGGAACGATCGCTAGCATCGACTACAAAAATAACTCCATGAACCTAAAAAGTGATTGAATTTTAGTGAATTACATTACCAGAACTATTATTAAAAGTTAAAAGGTTTTAATGGGATAAAGTAGTGAAATTGTCTGTAATATCAAATAATTCATAACAATTCTTAAAAAAATAAACAATGTATAAATACAAGGATGTCAGTAATATTAAACAATTATTTCTGAACCTGGGGCTTTACAGTTATTAGCATTTAAATTATTTGTAATTTTAGTTAATTTATATATTATAATATGGAAGTCTTACAATTTCTTTATAAATCTCACTTTGATGAAAGTTTTAAAAATAATTTAATTCAGCATATCAACCATTCTTATTAATTCTGATGATGCTCATTATGACAAGAATCATTATTAAAATCATCCTAGGTAGTTCATATAATTTCTAAGAAGTTGCCAACAATTGTGATATGATCGTTTCCAATCATTTTAGTCTGCCTATCATAAGTTTGCAAAAAATCAAATGATTGTGTCTATGTTTTCTTTACAAAACCTACCACAGAAGATAATGAAAAGTTTAAAAAAAAGTTTTTCTAACAAACCAAAATGAAAAGGATAGGCAGATCAAATGATCAGAAACAATGACTAGCGTTCCCTACCCTGCAGATCTCAAAAATAAATACCAACTGTAATATTTATACACAACTTTTTTTTTAATTTGAAGCACTTCATATTTAGTAATTTGCTAACTGTTTGTATTTATGCTACATGATTAAATATTATTTTTCTGATGATAAGACCAGATCTATGAATAACATGAGATCTATAAAAGTAAAATTAATGCCTTTGGGATAATATAACTTTAAATTCACTGAATTTTCTCATTTGTTTAAATTAAATAGCAATTAGCACTATGATATGTAATAATTGAAGTATGTCATGGACAGATATTTTAAGGATTTGTAATTTGAACCTTACTGATCATCGTATTGTTAGTCTGCCTTTCCTCACTAAATTTGTTTGTCCAATATATTTTGGTATTTCGCCATCTTCAGTGTGTCATATAAAAAAAAGACTTAACTTCACAGAATCATAAAGACACACTGAAGATGGCGAAATGACAAAATATGTTTGATATCCATCCCAGAGTGGATAGGCATACCAAAATGATCAGTAAGGATCAAATTACAGGTTCATCACACGCTCCTATACTTCCACTAAATAATACTTATAAGTATGTCATAAACTGTAAGAATTTGGATTTTTATGGATTTGTTATTGCATCCTTACCATTAATTGACTTAGACTTCTGGTATCATCTTCAGTGTGTCTGTGCTATTCTGTGAGTCTCTTGTACAGGGCACATCGAAGATGGCAAAATGCCGAAACATGTCTGATAGACCAACCCAGTGAGGATAGGCAGACCAAAATGTAGGTAAGGATCAAATTACAGGTTCATCGCCTGCTCCTCGTCTTTACAATAATTATAATAGTACGTCATGAACTGTATGAATTTGGATATTTCATGGATTTGTGATTTAAACCTTACTGTTTGTCTGCCTATCCTCGGTGTGTCTGAACAATGAAATATTTTATAGGACACTTAAGATGGTGAAATGCCAAAACGTGTCCAAGAGAGGTAAGGATCAAATTACAGGTTCATAACCCTGCAAACCACAGGAGAAAATCTCATGATATTTCATGTATATGGTGAGCAATGTCAGAACTATTCAGAACTTCATCCAGTAATAATTACAGAGAAATTTTGAGATTGTCTTGTTACTTCTTAAATATACTTTAAATGCAAAATGTGAAAATGGAACAACTGTACAATAATTAAGTTTTTATTATCATATTTTATATCATTAAGAAGTTTTATCACCAGCAATGAAAAGCATCTCATAGAACCATGTAGAATAAGACTCATAATACCACACTGTCCTAACTATGGGCGTGTGTATAAAGAAATTTTAGACTCTGAGGTGCTTCCATTCATAGTGCACTGACTTTACTAATAGTTCTGGTATAAAATAACTTTTAATCATTAGAAATAGAAGCAGGAATGCAAATATCAAAATAAAAACTATAAATTTCATTTGCACACATATGGCAGGAATTTAGAATGTACAAGACAAATAAACTGCAGTACAGAAATTATGAAGTGCATTTGAAATTGAATCACAAGTGCTGATAAAATGGCAAGGCATACATCATGAAAATAGCTGTTCCAGATTGCTCTAATTTGTGGTCCACCTCCTAAATCGTAAATAAAAACATCATATCCTCTAGTGGGCAATTTCACTACCGAAAATCCAACAGTAGGCACTGTAGAGTCGACGAAATCTGAAAATAACAGTTGAGAATCATTACAGGTAAAACTGCACTATGACTAGTGGGTCGTGCAAACCTCCAGACAGTGCTTTGACAGCTGTAGTTTTCCCCGAATTGTCCAGTCCGACGAGTAAAAGGACGATTTTTCTAAATTGGAAAGACGAACCCGTCAAAAATCGAGTAAATGTTGTTAATAAGCTTAAATAAACAAACCTTCGGGCCGGCACTGCTCTGACTTGGGGACAATTGACACAACAGTTTCCCATTTCGCGTTCATTTTATTTTGTAGACCATTTGTTTTTAACAACTGGCGAAATTGTATTATCGTGGGCTCGAAATAGGAAAAAGGAGACTTATTTATTAATACAACTACTGCCCCGATTGAGCTGATCACCCTTCATAAATAATATCAATTGCTATGACATTTCAAACAGTTATCAACGACAGAAACCGTCCGGGAGGTTATCCTGCAGTCGTCCAACTTCTGAAAAATAATTCTTCTTTATCAAACAATTTGTGAAAATTAATCGAAAAACCGGCCGTTAATGATGAAAAATTAGTTTATAAAAGTTTTACAAAGTAGTGAATCGATTATTTTTGACAATAGTGAAGCGTAGAAAATTTATTAAAACCTCCTCAGTATTTTATAAGTCATTGTGTGTGTCCATGTATGGTCTGATTTGTTGCATCATGAAACAAATTTACAAGATGACATCTCGTAAAGATGGTTTTATTTAAAACAGCTATAAAGTCTTTTAAAGATTATTCTACAGTTTAAACTAATATTCTGGATTGGAGAGAATGTTGAGACAACTTAAATATATTAAATCAATCATGAGATATGCCCATGGATCTTCACCTGGCCTCATATTGAGCGACAGCTGCGTCAAGAAGCTGAAGGAGATATCGGATGGACAAGCGTTGAGGATAATGGTCGAGGGTGGTGGTTGTTCAGGCTTTCAGTACAAGTTTTCGCTCGACAGCGATATCCGAGAGGACGACAAGGTCTTCGAAAGCCAAGGGGCCAAGGTCGTAGTTGATGATATGTCGCTCGAGTATATAGACGGTGCGGTAGTCGACTATCAATCAGAGCTCATTAGGTCTTCATTTCAAGTCATTAACAACCCCAAAGCCGAGAATGGCTGCTCCTGCGGGGCATCGTTTTCAATGAAAATTGATTAAACTTTACAAATGTTATACCTCTAGAATAATAAAATGTATATAGTATAATTTATCTGACATTTTTATCTGCCTATTTTTAAAAACATCTGTCAAAATTATTTTAATTTTATGTGTACACATATGAAACTGAATCGCATCAATGTGTAGTAAACTTTGCTGCCTTTAATAAACCTACAGAAGTTAATTATCCATTTGCACAAGCTATCTAATTTTTAAAAATCTGGTTTTGTCCATTATATTTGCTATGGTATAGGAGGCATTATAGGCACTGAAATTGATCTTTCAAGTAGGCAGACTTGATTGATAGATGGTAAAGTACTGAGTACAATTTTGAGATTTCAATTCATGAGACAGGACAAGTCCATCTCTCTAGACCGTCGATGGGTAAAAGTGCTAATTTAAAAATATTAGAAGTGTGTAAACTATGGTAATTTTTAAAAGACGCTTCCAAGTGGTCATAAATAACATCTTTGGAAGAAAGGCAACTTTGATTTCAGGAAGGGTCACTAATATGGATGGAACAGAGTAGATAAAAGGGCCAAATTATACCCAAACAGGGTACTGAAGTGGCCGAATGGTTAAGGTGTCTGACTAATAACTGACTATCAGTTCTGGGTTCAAATCCTGGAAAGCCTATGACTTTTGAGTTGATAACAGCATAAAAACATATTTGGTAAGTGGTTTGACCCCTCATAAACAATGGACAATTGGACATTAAGTACTGCAAGGCAGAAATTTCTTTAGTTTTTATACCCTAGCAAAACAATTTGGATAAGTCTAAACAATCTTCCAAGCTGAGGTCTATGTGTTCAAACTATGTGCACATGTTAATAAAGATGTATATACAAGTAGCACAGATTTATATAGTTTCAAGTAGTCAGGTATAAAGTCACTGTTTTAGCTCCAAACTGAGATTGGCTGGAGAAAACAAGGTTACTTTAAGGTACAAAGGAAATGTCTACCAAAAAAAAGAGGCAGTTTTTTTACCCATGAGACAAGAGTTTTAGGACTAAAACTAGGCATACTGGAGTGTGTACTAAAGTTGGAACTAGAAAAATGGCTTCGGAAAGAAAAGCTCAAGCACTAGACAAAAGCATCAGATATGAGGCAAGCTAAGAAAAATATAAAACACTCAAGGAAGACAAAGGGACTCCTCTCCATGGCCCTCTTAACTACGACCTAAAGAAGATAGGCAAAGCAGAGCCAGAAACTTGCCAACTCTGTCCAGAGAAACTAGACAGCATATAACCATAACCTGTACAATGCAGCCATTTTGGTAAGGCATTTCTCACACCAAGAAAAGTGTGTAAAGAGGTACTGAGGAAAGTACTTAGTTTTGTAGGAAAAAGTGCATTCCAAGAAGTAGTTATAATTGTAGGAGTTCCACAATAGGCATATATAAAAAAAACTAGGGAAGTGCGGTGATTTAAAAGCCTTCTGATCTTATCTTCAGGACGAGTTAATACAACTAATGAAGTCATCTCTTAATCCCATATGTTGAAGGCTTCTGTGAATATAATCGTCAAGTACTTAAAAGTACTGACTGTTCTTTGTGAAGTTTAACCTGATTCAACATTGTATACATTAAATTCACTAATTTCGTGGTCCGCTTGATCAATTAATATATTACAATTAATTAAGGTTTTTAGTTGTGATAAAAAAAGTCAATGGCACGAGCGGCATTCGAACCCACGATCTTCGACTAGATACGCCGCTGCTCTACCACTTGAGCTATCGTGACCTTGATCCACTCGGACATCAACCGCACCTTTTGAATTTTCTCTCCTTTTTGCCATTTTTCAAATTGTATACATTTGTTTACATGATATTAGACACAAAAATAAGAGGTTTAAATAAATCGTGCTCTTCTCAAAAAATATTTTTTTTTCTTTGAAGTTTACATTTTGCATTTTGTTTAAAACACAAATAAAATACGCCACTCACATTTAATAAAATGTACAAATTAATTAATACGCTTAATAGAAGATTCAACAGAAATATTTAACAAAATGAATGACACTCAAGATATATTTAACTAGGCAGGAGACAATTTAAATAAGCCTCAATAGCTCCTCACTCATAATCTACTCATGCCTCAGCATCTTCAGGTCAAATGGATTATTTGTCAAAAATGAAAACATGGTTTTAGGTTTAAAAATAATTGAAAAATCTATACTGCAATAACAAAATCATGTTCTCTGCAAATACCAAGGTTCTATCCGAAGAGTAACGAGGCTATCTCGTCATTTGTAGGGTAAAAAAAATTTGCAGAGTCTACAACGTTATTTTGATTTCTGTGCCCTGGCTCTGCTAGTCTTTCTCGGCGTTAATTTTTTTATGCCAGTCTAAATTCATCTTTGCAACTGTCTCTCCTCTCTCTAGAGCTCTCTTCCCACTCCAAATTTGGTAGAAACAGGCAATAACCGTGGCAAGCATCATATAATTTGCTACCTTGATGCGTGCCTTGCTCTTGGCCTTCTCGATTAGTTCAATCCTGCAATAAATTTAAATCAAAATCAATATTTACAGGTTAAGCCGGTCATACACTTCTGACTGTTCGATCAGATTATCGGTTGTTCTGGCTGAAAATTTGATGTGAGTGAGTACAAAAAAAAAAAAAAAAAAAAAAAAAAAAAAAAGGTCCATATAATAGAAGACTTATGCTAGGCACACATATTAAATTTTTAGTTGTGAGTGGTTTGTCATCTATTAAACTGCGCACATTTGAATAACTAACTAGTGCAGAAGAGCACTATAAATTTGTGACTCGTGAATGGAGGAATCGTGCAATTATTTAGTTGCATGCAGTCGCCTTTAACTCTGTGTGATACAAGTGGTTGCAAACAGTTCCGTAACCCTTTAGTTGGTCGGATTTTTAGTTGCATGTAGTTGCAAGTGTGCGGGCTTTTAAACAAACCTTTTGCAGTCATTTCCGAGACTAAACTGTTACACAAATAAAAATTGCACATGTGTGTCTAGCCTTAGAAAGTTTTGCTTTGTATGAAATGTAGAAAACAAAACTTTTCTCACTGTTCAAAAACCTCAAATATAATATTCCAACCCAAAGAGAAGTCAAATTTAACAGGTTTCCCTAAATTCATACTTTAACCTTGGTCATAAGCCATCACAGTGAGTTAGGATGAGCTAGTAAATACAATTTTTGCCATGGCATCTTCCTTGGATGATATGGCATGTGGGAAGTGAGTAAGAATGCCACCTAGCATGAAAATTGTGCTTGATCACAGCAGTGGATTTTTTTTAGGTAACAAGGGTGTTGAAATGTACATAATGGGAAGAAAAAATTATATTATGGTTGTATTTATTTAATGGTGAGAAGGAGGAACTGAGAGATTTTTAGACAAGAAATGAGAACTCGAAAGTAAAAAAACTCACATGCAAACGCCTTTTTTTTACGATGGTTTGCAACATCAGAGGTCATATAAACCCTCAGGGTGCCAGTGTTTTTTTTTTTTTTTAAAGCCCCTTTGTAAGTATGTCGGGTTCGAATACAGGGCCGCTGGATTCGCTCCCGAGAACTTTTACCTTACAGTGATGAGTGCCATGTCAACGTCTTAACCGTTGCAGCCACCGACTCCCCAAAAAACGCATCTTTAGTGTCGTACACAGCTATTAAATCTTTGGATAAATCTGCCTACCGCTTAAAAGTTTTACAGAACCACTCACGCACTAATAAGAAATGAGTATGGACAAGGAGCCAGTGATTGTACAGGAATTGAGCGGTCTTATTGGTCTGTATTGTCGTAAAGAATATTTGAACTGGCATATCTGTAGCACATGCATGCTTGGAATGAATTATTTTGTCTGAGCTGGTGCATATCTGTGGTGTTTGTGACTATTCCGAATTATTTTTTAAAAATCTCTTTTCATCGTTTGCTAGCTTTTTTTTTTTTTTTGCAACAGCAGAGGTCATATTAAGTCATCATATCATATCTACTTTCAGGGTGCGGTATTTTAAAAAAAAGCCTATTTGTAAGCATGTCGAGTTTGAATGCAGGGCCACTGGATTCAAATCTGGGATACCTAAACCGTTGCTCCTTCTTTTGTGAATTTGAAAAGAATCTCCTTTTTTAATTCACTGGTTGCAAAGCAAATCTTTTGCTTCTCTGCTCTACTTCCAAACAATCCAATTTCTTTCCTTCTTCCTCTTCCAAGTAAAATTGCTGCCAAAGCTAATTCTTCAATTGAAAAATTTTTAAACAGGCTTAAATTTAAAAAAGTAGTACATTTGCCTTCAACTAACTCTCTAGTTTAACTGTAGGCATGTAGTTGGGCGGGAAAACTTGTGCCTGCAATGTTACCTGCTGGACAAGCTACGTGTTGGTTAGTACGGATTGGTACTTAATATGGCAATATGACAAAACACGTCTGATAAACCTACCCAGTGAGGAAAGGCAGATCAAGATATCAAATTACAGGGCAAAGTGATCCAAAACTACAGGCTCAACACCTTGCAATCATCAAGAGGAAATTAAAACAATAAGATCAGAATTAGAAAAGTTGAATATGGTCATTTTCTTTTTTAGACACACTCATAAACTACATGTTCAGACAGGCATACACCAGACAATCTTTTCAAACAGTCATATCATGCGACCGGTGTCAACTTCCTTACGACACTTCTTTAGGGATTTCACGGTCCGTTTTGAACCTGCCAGTCCAGACGAGGATCCTCCTCTCGAACTTGCTCGGGACATGTATTTTCCTAACTGATCAGAACGAAATTAGTTCACTCGGTGATATTTTTACAGAGATTATTCATACACATTGTGTTGGCATCATGACCGGGATCGCTCGAAGGCTTTTCCACGGGGGGGTCGACGGGCTTGTCGGATGTTTTCAGGCAGGACGCTGTAGAAATAAGCCTCGAAGGGGCGAGCCGGCCCGTCACAAATCTCGACGAGTGTCTTAACATTCTCAGTTCCAATTTAACTCGAAAAATGAAAAGTAACAGACCTGTAGGTTCAATGATATCGATAATCTTTACCCTTAGCCATCGATTTAGAAATAATTTACAAAACTAATTGAATAATTCAATTTCTAAAAATAAAATAACAAAAATAATAAAAATTATGTTCAAAGCAAAAACTTATTTCACTTACAAAATCTTCATTAATCAAATCACCCCCCATTAAATAACCAATCTTTAATTTCAAACAAAACTATCATAAACTAATCAATTAAATCATCAACCTAATAATTAAATATTTATATATATCATGAATTTTTAAATTAAATTTATAAATCGATCATCTTATGTGGAAGCCGGCAGGTTTGCACTTTGAATCTTATCTCGGCGTAGGTTTCTCGTTTGTTTCCTCCCTTTTTTTTATAGTACCGGGTTCGTTTTTTTGTACATGTGCACTATTATTTTAAACACAGGAATACATTTTATTAAAATCTTTTTTATGAGAGAAAATGGAGTGTGTAGACTTTCTAGAATTTCAGGTATTGTTTTTCTTTGTTCAGCTCTTTCCAGTAAATTAGGCAGAGTTGTACTGCCTATTTATTTCTTTTTTCCAAAACTTCTAGTCTGAAAAAAAGTAGTAGTGTTGAAAATTTTCAGTTCGACGCATATTTTCAAGTTTAAAAAAATGCAAAAAATTGTTTTCTTACCAAAACTTCTGATGCTGTCTTTATGGTACTTCAGACTTCAACCCTGACATTGGTGTGTTTAGACAACCTACCAATGCTAAATACAGTTGGTCAAAAAATTATTCATACACTTGGTTTTTGGAATTGTCTTCTTTAATTTTATTTTTTAACTTAAAAAAATTATGTTACAACAGCGCTGGAACACTACAAGAAAATTGGGTGCTAGTCAACTTAAGGAGGCAATATCATTTTTTATGTAAGGTTTTTGTTGAGATAAAAAAGTCAGTGTCATGAGCGGTTTTCAAAGCCACGACCTTCGGCTCAATTCGCTGCTGCTCTAACCACTTGAGCCATCATGACAAAGTGGTTAGAGCAGCGGCGTACTGAGCCGAAGGCGTGGGTTTGAATCCCGCTCGTGACACTAGCTTTTTCATTTTGACCAAAAGATTAATTATATACAATGACCGTTCTTTTTGTCTTTGAAAAAAAATTAAAAAATCAAAATTAAATAAATCAGTTTGTAACAATAAAATGTTAAAACACCAAAGGGTCAACAAACAGGCACAAAAGATAGCATGAAATAATTTTTGGATGTTAGTGCACCCTATTTGCAACAGCTTCCAATGTGTAGTCCCTATACTATCTTCAGTCCCTGACAAGTTATGATTTTTTTTGTTAGTTTTTCCATATAAACATTAACAATAAGAAAAACCTAAATATCTATCATCTGAGCTACCACAGTTTTGAATTTAGCATTAAATTTCCTGTACACTATTTTCATCTGAAATATTTCAATTAAGAACCTTAGTAATTGCTTATATATGAAAAAATGCCACAAAGTTTTGTTTTTAAGAAATAATTTATAATTAGGTATGCCCTAGAGATTTTCAAACTTCACGAAAATTTCATTATTTAATCATCTTTCAAACTGTATAAGAATATTCATAACCCCTCTTGATAGCAATAGATAGTATTTCACACTTTATTATAAATAAAACTGCTTCGTTGTCAAGTTTTATCATTTTATTCACAATAAATTTTTGAAAGATTTACAAGTGTTAGACATTACAAATTGTTTTCAAAATGATAATCACATTGTCTAACCCACAACTTTGTGGTATTTTTCAAATATGAGCATCTATTAAGGTTCTTAATTGAAAATTATTTGGGATGGCTCAACTACCCCAATTGAAAAAGTTTACCCACATCTCCATAATTTACTGACATAAATCCATTACATTTTTGGCATATAAAATTGTTATTTTTGTAAAGTAACACCAAATTAGTTTTTAAGCACAATGTTGAATCAACTAGTTTATTGTCAAACAAAAGTGTTACAAAATTGCTTGAATAGTGTGCAGTATTTAATGACCGTTAATTAATGACTATTTAGAGATCATGAGATCACCAGACTGCATCTCACAATCTATAAATAGTGCTTGAATAATTTTTAGACCTATTGTATCTAAAAAATAATGATTATTGTAGCAATCCATATATGTTTAGCAGTCATAATTTACTGTATTAATTATTTCAATTAATTATATTTTTTATCTAAGGTCTTGGTTGAGAGGAAAAAATTGGTGTTACGAGCGGGATTTGAACCCACGACCTTCAGCTAAAACCCCGCTGCTCCAATGATTGATCTATCTTGACTTCGATCCACTCAGACACCAATTCATCCCAACTTACACCGGATTTGGTGTCCAAGTGGATCGAAGGCCCAGTACCTCCAATCAACCCAAGACCTTAGTTAAAAAGGTATAATTAATTGAAATTTATTGTAGCTTTTAAATTGATTATTTTACTACCTTTAATCAAATTGTGTGTTTATATGTATGTGTGACCTTGTATTATTCGAGTGTAAAAATACAAACTTTCAATAGGATGCATTAAAAAAATTGAGGGATGTGGATGATAAAATAGTTTACGCACTGAATGCCTCTGTACCCTCGCCATCTTTCAGGAAGGAGATAAACCCTGAGTCAAGTTGTAAAGATCTTTTTGCTAAAGTGAGTCCTTAAGAATGTTACTTTTTTTGGAAAAAAATACCCTGTCTTTTTGCTTCAGTTGCAAGAAAGCCATAGTAAAAGGGAAAAAGCTATACAAAACTGCATTAAGGTGACAAGCGAGAAAATTGCTACGCTGAAACAAGACAATGAAGGAAGTTTAGCAGCAGTAAAGCATCTCAACAAAGAACAAACAAAGGTTCACATTTTATTTCATTTTATTAAAAATATTGATTACATTTACTTTTTTTCTTCCAGTTGCGTCTCCTTAGGTCAGAGCTGGGAGTAGAAGAAGTGGTCCGTGACAGATCATTAAAGCTGTACCATGAAAGGTGTAGAGGGTTTTTCAAGCCTCCTAATTTAGATTTGGAGTGAACATACTGTATAGATAAAACGAGTAATATGAAATTAGATATTTTAAAAATGTTTCTAGCAGCAGATTGTTGGGGTCAATTTTTGTTACAAGTTTGTTATACTGATGAAAAGACTGTTGATAAATTTTTTTGACTACTTGTGATCTTTTATTATATTTTTTTACCTCTTCTCCAGGCTATTTGAAATGCCTTAGTAAAAACTGAGTTCTTTCTGTTTTTGGGATTAAAACGATGGAACTAGTAATGTTAATCCCTGGTATCACAATCAGTGATCCAAGAAAGAAAACATTTTAAGCCACTATCTATAAATTTACAACAGTTTTGACTTGTTTGCAAAGGTCCTCTGAACATAACATTCTGTAACTCGGCCATGTCATCCATAGATATCCCCAGCTCATCTGATAGAAATTTATTGTTAAGGATTATCTTGAATATTTCGGTAGTAATTTTTTCAGCCGTTTCCCCGTTCAGGGCACTTTCATAGTCTGGATCGTAGTTCGGTTCTGGTAAAAGGGTAGGAGCTTTTGCTTTTCCACTTTCAGGAAAGCACTGCAACTAAAAAAAATATTTAAAATAAATCATGAATAATTGTTATCAACTTGTATTTACTTTCTTTTACCTGGTCTAACTGTTGACCTTTTGATTTTTCTCGGCATTTTGATTTTCTACTATCCAAAACAAATTCATTTTCCACTAAATTTTTTTCTCTGAATGGATTTGGATCCATTTTATAGGCTGATTCCGGTTCATTGTAATCATTGAAATTGGTAATTTTTGATTTATTAAGATATGTATATGGCCAGTTGTCTAAAGTAGCCAATTGCTGCCATTTATTCGCCCCTTTATACTCGTCAATTTTTCTATTGCTATTTGACTCTTTATATTCTATTAAACCAGGGCTAAAAACTTGTACTTTGTGCCATTTCCTGTTGTCTTTGGTTTCATCATTAACATATTCTATAAAAAAAAAATTATATAAACATTCTGTTTAGACATGCTAACAGTATATTCAACCTGATCTTTCAAACTGCTCTTTAGGACTGTGTGCTCTTCTTAGGTAAAAAGAAGGCCAATTGGAATATCTGTTTGTAAACAACTGAAAGAAAATAGTTTTAAATAGACTTAAAAAAATACAGCTAGCAATTTTTTGACTTACTTCTGTCACTGATTGTGAAAACAATATGATGCAAATAAATATTGTTATATTCGACACAGCCAGCATATAACAGTAAATTAATCCATATCAAACTTCCACTACTTCATTTTGACTTACCGAAGACTTTGCAACTAAATATTTTAAGTCTACAATTGCCTCACATGTGAAATTGATCAATTTTTTAAAAATTAAAGAAAAGAATGTACTATATCCTAAGAAATTAAAACCTTAGCATAAATCACAAATAAAATTACAATTAAATGTTGAAAAATTAGTAAAAATGTGAGGTTTTTGTACAAACAATTGTTTCTTACTTTTGAAACAATAAACAAATATGTTTCTTAACCAATATACATATGTTTAAAAAATAGTGCAGCATAAATATAAATATTTAACTAATTGGACTCATTTTACTTAATTGTAGCTGCTGTGATGCTGTCATGTCAATACAAGAATTTTAGTACTGCAATAAAAAAGGTCAACATTTTAGTGATGCAGCTTTTCAGCTTGGCCTGTCTTTTCTTGTTTGTTTCAGAATTTTATCTTCGGTGATTGCCTTCCACCCCCCCCTGGATTCGAACCCAGGACCTTTAACTTACAGTGATGAGTGTTATGGCCCTATCGACACCCACATTCGTTATTGTATTAATTTATATTAATGGTTTGACCGCTCCTCACAAATCCAACAAATTATTAAACAACCAATCTCAGAAAGACTAAGTAAAACAAATGTAATTGTTGGGCTAGTGAAAATAAATAAAAAAATAACCGGTCACTAAAAAAACAAAACATTATATTGTGTCTATTTATGTTTAGTGTTCTAATTATTTCAACTAATTAATCTTTTTATGTAAGGTCTTGGTTGTGATGAAAAAGTTAGTATCATGAGCGGGTTCGAACTGAATGATTTTCGAATTGAAAAGTGACAAAAAGAGGGAAAATTTGAAAAGTATAGGTTGTGATGGGGAGTTGGTGTTTCAAGTGTATCGAAGACACGATAGCTCAAGTGGTTAGAGCAGTGGCGTATTCAGCTGAAGGTCATAGGTTCGAATCCCGCTCCTGACACTACCTTTTTCATCTAATCAAGACCTTATATAAAAAGAATAGTTAATTGAATTTATATTGTATATTGTCGCACGTATGTTATGTTCCGCTGTTGCCTCTCACATTCATGTTCATGAATACTTTCTCAACAGATAATCCTTTTGCTTATGCACCTATAAAATTTTACTAAAACCAAAAGGCCTTGCAAAAAAACTTCTACTTCTACACTGTGCAAAGGATTGACTATCTATATAATGGATATTATATAAAAGTAAGTATAAAATAAAATCCCTTGTAGTATTAATAAAAAAGGTTGATTGTGGATGTGGCGGCCCGGCCCAAAATTGAATTTCCCTCTTGCGCCATTTCGGCCCGGAAGGTCAATAGCGGGCCAGCTGATCCGCAACACGCCGACAACGCATGTGCGGCCGAGCTTCATCTGATTGACTATCGGCCGGGCGAGACGGCGAACGGCAATCGGCAGTACAATTCGACCCGGCGAGGAGATCGTCCGAGAAACGTCGATCCGCATTTAACGAACTTCTCAACTCTCTCGAGACAGAAGATGTCAGATCCGGACGACAACTACGACAGCCACTATTTCGAGGGTGTCGAAAAGCTCCTCGAGCTTTGGTTCAGGAAGCCCGCTTCGTCGAAAAACGGAGACTTGCGGGACATTCCCAGGTAACGATTTTTCTCACTCCCCGGCCCTAAGGGCTTTTACAACTTTCCGACCCGCTGAAATCCGTCCGGGCCCTTTTTATCCATTCAAAACTCGAATATCGATTTTTCCCCATTTAACATTCTCCGGTTCTGCTAAAAAGTACGTTTTATTCCAGGCAAAAATTGGAAGCTTTGCTGAAGATCGTCAACTGTGAAATCATCAGCTTTTCCAGCAACGACAGGGTGGACGCGTACGTGTTGAGGTAAGTCCTTATTCTAGCGTAACTACTTATTTTTAGAATCAATCCTGTTTAAACTCGGGAATTGGCGAAGTATAAAATACCGGACGGCATTGCCGGCTCAAATCCGCGGTTCTTAAAATAATCTATATTTTATGAAATGAAACAATAAATCCATATCGTTTGGTAGTAAAAATGAGAAAATTAACACTTATTTTCAGCTAAAAAATCCTACATTTATATAAAACTTGGATAAACTGGCCAATCGTATACTAATTACATTCTGTAGATTCTTGCATTATATATTTCAACTTCTTTATCCATAAAGCAAGCAAAACATTCTTCTTTCAACAGTCGTTGAGTAAAATTGTATAATCATCCAGCGAGGCTGGACGGATACACACACAACATCTAAAAAAGTTGACTATTTTCATTCGGTCGGACAGTATTTGGGACTATTTGCATTATCCGCATCATCATCTTTATCAATAAAGCAAGCAAAACATTCTTATTTCAACAGTCGTCGTTGAATAAAATTGTATATTACCCAGCGAGGCTGGACGAATCCTCACACAATAGCTAAAAAAGTTAATTATTTTCGTTCGGTCGTTCCATATTTGGGACTACTTGCATTATCCGCATCGACTTCTTTATCAATAAAACAAGCAAAACTTTCTTCTGTCAAGATTAAATTTTTGTAAATCCAGCGAGGCTGGACGGAACGACTCGCAACAGCTAGAAAGTTGGCTATTTTCATTTGGTCGGGCAATATTTGGGACTATGTACTTGCATTATCCACATCATCTTCTTTATCAATTAAGTAAGCAAAACATTCTTCTTTCAAGAGTCGTCGTTGAGTAAATTTTTATAATCAGAAAGCGAGGCTGGACGGATCCACACACAAACCTAGCTTTTAAAAAATCGACTATTTTCCATTCGGTCGAGCATTATTCGGGATTTGTTGCATTATCCGCTTCAGCTCCTTTTCCGTAAAGCAAGAAAAACGTTTTTCTTTCATCGGTCGTCGTCGAATCTTTAATCGCACAGAGATGCTGAACGGACCCATCCACAAACCTAGCTATGTAACAGAAATAGTAAAATAGTTTTCTTTCATGGAGAGCCTGGAAAAATACAGGGGCCGAACGTACCCATTATTCTCGCTTGAATTTGACTACTTTCATTTAATGTGTTCATTGTTAATTTCAATTACTTTCTCTTATAAAATTAGTAAAAAGTCCTTTGTTTCGATCCGAAAACCCAGCGGGAACTAGATAACTTTAATTCGGCAGGGCAATGATTTACAATTCTTGCATTATCCGCTTCATTTTTTTTCTTTTATAAAGCCAACAAAACGTTTTTCTTTCCATAGTAGTTTGTCGGATCTCTACAAAATTCCAGCTAAACATCAAGTACTTTCATTGGTTCGGGCAATAATTTAGAATTCAACGTAACCATCTGCAATTCATTCTGGTTTTACTATTTGCCCCAGGTTGAAACCCTCTTTTTTCTGAAGGTTCGGCTGAAGAAAACGACAGACTCATCAAACAATTCCTGCTAGTCCTAATTGACTTCTTTTATTCGATTGTGCAGTAATTCCAAATTCTTTCCTTATTCACTGCAACTTTGATATTCAACATAATCAGTAGTGGATAAATCCCGAGGTTCCTTATAAAAAGACGAGACGGAACAGACCCATCCACAAACCCAGCTAGAAGTTCGCTCGGAGAATAATTCATACTCCTTGCATTATCCGCTTAAGTTGTTTTAACAAATAAAACGAGCAAAACGTTATTCTTTCCTTCGTTTTTGGGTTTCTTAAAGATACACCGATGCTGAACAGACCATCCACAAATACCTCTAGGATTCGTACATTGTTCGCGGCCTGGCAACAAATAGAAATTTTTTTATCTAATAAAATTAGTAAAAAGTTGTTTTTTTAATGATCGTCCTTGAATCCTTACCGTACTAAACCGGCGAGACTGAACGTGCCCATCCACAAACCCCGCTGGAATTAGACAACTTTCATTTGGTCGGGAGTGATTCACAATTTTTGCAGTATCATCTTCAATTCCTTTATCAAATAAAGCCAGCAAAAAGTTCTTCTTTCAACGGTCATCATGGAGTAAATTTCTATAAACAAAATTGCCACGCTGAACGGGCCCATCGACAAACCTAGCTATACTGTAGAACTATTAAAATCTTTATTCGAGAACCTGTCGATTCCTTTAAAAAAACGAAGAGGCCGACCGGACCTATCCTAGCTCGAACTAGACTACTTTCATTAATAATCCTTGAATTATTAAAACTTCAACTGCTTTATGTAATAAAATAAGAAAAACGTCTATTTTACTTTATAAACCGGCGAAATAAACGGTCCCATCCCCAAATCCAGCTAGAATTACGGCTACTTTCATTCCATCCATTCAGAATTTTTGCATTATTCTGTTCAATATTTTTATCAAATAAAACCAGCTAACATTCGTTCCTCCGTTTTTTGGGTTCAGGAGACTGTGGTACTAAACGGACACATCCACAAGCCTCGCTGGAGCTATACATATTCGAAGTCAAGAATTTGCATAATCTACTGCATTATCTATTTCAACTTTATTACCAAATAAAACCAGCAAAACGTTCTTCTTTCACCTTTCATCGTTGAATGATTTCTATAATCAAACAGCAATGCTAGATGAACTTGTCTGCTTCCATTTAATCGAGTAACAAATCGAAATCATCCGCTTCGACTTTTTTTATTTAATAAAATTAAGAAAAAACTTCTTTTTTTCGTCGTTGAATACTCTCAATAATAAACCGTCGAGACTGAACCGACTCATCGAAGTCGACACTTTCATTCGTTCGGGCAATAATTTAGAATTCAAGCTTTACTTTTAGGAACTCTTCTTTTTAGGTTTTACTACCCTTCCATTGACAAACAAAACTATCTAAATGTTCTTTCAGTGGTCATCGTATAGCTGAAGAAAACGAAAACCCCATCAAGCCATTCCCGCTACAACTGACTAGTCTTGTTTTGTTGTGCACTCATTAGCAACTTATGAATTATTCTTAAATAATACTGCCTATAATTAACACAAAAAGTAGTGGTTAAATCTCGAGGTTCCTTATGAAAACGACGAGACTGACGAACCCAATCCTCTCTAGAACGGGACTACATGTGACAATGACAGCAAGAAGTACAGTTCATTGCAACTTAAGGTTGCAACTGCTCGCATTTCATTTCAAGGCAAGGACGGTTCATAAATTATTTAACAGCCGTCCATTAAAACAGGCTGTTTTTAAAATAAAATAGAAGCCTACAGCTTAAATATCACCACCTTGCATTCGGTCAGGCTATAATTTTGCATTGACCTTTACACAATAAAACGATCGCCGCTAAGTAAACGACGAGACTGAATGGTCCAACAATTCCGCTCATACATCTAAAAGTCCCATATTTCTATTTATTAAGAGCACATTTTCAGCACAGAAAGGTTAGGTGATTAGAACCCAGCCATTTTAGAAACAAATAAATAAAATCTACGGCTTAAAATTCATTTTTATTCGGTCAACTTCTTTGAAAAATAAACCTCATATAACGTCTTTCTTGAGCAATCTTGTGGTATTAAAAAAATAAATAAACGACGAAGCCAAACGGACCTATCAAAACAGTCCTTGCACTTTAACCTAAAGGTCGTCTTTCTCTCCGTCCTATTTTTCATGAAAAGGCGAGAAAAGATAAATTATATAATTGTCTCATTGATTCATTGATTGTAACTGACGTAGTTATAAATATAAAAGTAGCATCAATACATAAAATTATCGTAACTTGTATTTGTTCGGTCATCGTTGAATCTTGAGGGTCTTTAAAAACAAATAAATAAAATTTAAAAAAAAGTCGAGGCACAACGGACCTATTCTCTCATTATCCACCATCCAAATGTGCCATATCTTTTCGATTAGTGGTATTTATGTGAAAAACAAGATCATAAAATATTTAAAAAACGAGAGAAATCTCTATTTTTAAAGCCTTTATTTATTATTTATTTACGATCTGGTTTCATGACTTATTTATTATTAAATAAAACCAACTAAAAGTTCTTTCGACGGTCATCGTTGGATCTGGAGATACGTAAGAAAACGATGTAGCAGAACCAATTCCACAATCATTTAAGGACAAGACCAACCGATATATAAATTTTAAAAACAGTAGAACATTGAAACTAGCGTTAAACCTAAAGAGCAAATCCGTAAAAGCATTTTATTGCCCCTTAACTCCTATAAAGGTACTGTGGTGGACTGAAAGCTTACATTCAATTTAATAAAGTATGAAAGTTTGGGTCTTTAAGAGTGAAATCATCTGCGCCGGTTTATGGTATCTAGGGCTAAATGAAATCCCCTGCGATAGTTTAGGAATTTTTAAGACATAATGAAATCATCTGTTTTAGGGTCTTTAAAAGGCTCAATCAAATCATCTGGACGGTTTACAGTCTTTAGTACTAAAGGAAATAATCTGCGACAGTTTACTGTTCTTTAAGACTAAATGAAATCACGTGCGATAGTTTAGAGCCTTTTAAGATTGGTCAGGTCTCGTTGGTGGTCAGACTCGTTAAACACATGGAAACAATAACACCATTTAGGTTTTGTTTTAATTATTAAACTAAATGGTTGCTATTGTTTCCATATGTTTAACTTGACTGACCACCAATTAATTAAATGAACAACAGCTTAAGGAAGAAAATATACATACCGATTGTACCTGTTAACAGTTTTGAAAGAAAAAAAAATTTTTTTTCAGCCTTCTTTTATTACAGGCAATTGTCCAGTTCGTGAGGAATGTGCATGAAGAGTAGGAGCGATATCACGGGAGGATGTGTATCGTTTTATCATTATAAATTACAGATCGTCAGAGGGGGTCGCAAATCAATGACCTCTAATGGATTGTTAGAAATTTCGACCCTATTAAATAAATTACTTATGAAATTTATTTAAGGGGATTTTTTCGAGGTTCGGTGTACTTTTTTTGTGGAACT